ATAAACATTAATAAAAAAAGGAAAAACGCTCAATATATTTTGGGTTAAAGCCCACGCAGGATTGGAGGGAAACGAGAGAGCAGACATACTAGCAAAAGAAGCCGCTACAAAAATTAAAAAGAAACCGGATTATGGAAAGTGTCCTATCTCATACATCAAGCGACAAATCCGACTGGAGTCGCTTGATGAATGGAATAGGCGCTATAAAGAAGGAGAAACGGCCTCCACAACAAAAATGTTTTTCCCAGACGCCATCGATGCCTATAACGTAATTCGGAAAATAAACTTGGATCCAATAATGGTTCAAGTTATGACAGGACATGGTGGGTTCTCCAAATATTTGTATAGATTCAAGTGTAAGGAGAGCCCAGCTTGTCCATGCGATCCAACAAAAGAAGAAGACGTAGAACATATTATAGTAGAATGCCCAATATATGGTAGAGAAAGAAGTGATGTAGAAATAGAAATAGGTGTAAAAATAAAGTTAGAAAATGTCAATGAAATAATTAGAAATAAGCACATTAGAAATAAGTTCCTTAAATTTTGTAAGAACATAGCAAGTAAAGTAGTAAGTAAGAATAAATAGTATAAGAAAACGGGCCCTGTAACACATATATATATATATTTATATAAAAGTATATCGTGTTAACAGTCCCATTAAATAAGTAGAAGTAAGAACTTATGTAAATAGAAAAATACATACATAGTACAAAAAATGTAGCACTAAAAGAATAATAAATAAAAGAAAAACATTAGAAATGGTGAAAAAAGCAACACCACGATGAAAAAAGTCCTTGATCTCCACATGTCAGGGAATCAGAATAAAAAAAAAAAAAAAAAAAAAAAAAAAAAAAAAAAAAAACCTAACCTAACCTAACCTAACCTAACCTAACCTAACCTAACCTAACCTAACCTAACCTAACCTAACCTAACCTAACCTAACCTAACCTAACCTAACCTAACCTAACCTAACCTAACCTAACCTAACCTAACCTAACCTAACCTAACCTAACCTAACCTAACCTAACCTAACCTAACCTAACCTAACCTAACCTAACCTAACCTAACCTAACCTAACCTAACCTAACCTAACCTAACCTAACCTAACCTAACCTAACCTAACCTAACCTAACCTAACCTAACCTAACCTAACCTAACCTAACCTAACCTAACCTAACCTAACCTAACCTAACCTAACCTAACCTAACCTAACCTAACCTAACCTAACCTAACCTAACCTAACCTAACCTAACCTAACCTAACCTAACCTAACCTAACCTAACCTAACCCAACCTAACCTAACCTAACCTAACCTAACCTAACCTAACCTAACCTAACCTAACCTAACCTAACCTAACCTAACCTAACCATGGATTCGCAATCAGGAGGCCAGAGTGGAGAGGAGCCGGAAGCAGTTTTTGAAACTTAAAAAAGTTAAGTGGCTGCAGAAATATTGAACTTTTAAATTTAGCAAAAATTTCAAAATTAAATTTCTTAAAATTTAAAGCGAGGACCCCTAGTTTTTATAATAAAATAGTATTAAGATTAGTATAAGAAATGTATATGTAAATTTTTAGATTTTTCTCGCAAGTACTTTTTAAATTATGATTTTTTAAATTATTTAATTGGACACGTGTTTCCTTTTTGTAACGTGTTACAAAGTATTAAAATAGATATATTAATTAAGGATACTTTAAATAACGTATGGAATTTTTTGTAAAATTTTAGAATTTAATTTGGCCATAAAAATCAAAATTTTGTGAAAAATTGTAAAATTTTTATTAAAAATTAATTCAACGGGGGCTTAAACGCTCAAAATATTTATAAAATCGTAGGCCTGACATCGAGGCCTTTCAAATGAGCCCAAACACGGACCAAATCGCTTAAAGGACGCCCAAAATAAAGTCTTTTGGTCTGATCGGCGGCCATTTTGAAATATTTGAAAGCAAAATAACTTTTGTTCTAGGATTCGTAGTGAGTTGCGGTTTTGGACTTAATTAATACCTTGTTATAGACTTTCCTTTAAGCGTGAAAATACGCTTAATATAAAATCGCGAAGTAAAGCCTCCTTTAAGGTAAAAATAAAAGGTCGAAGGAGTGCTTTGTGTGGCAACCCAAACCGCGCGACTCTGCGGCGAAAACTGAGCAAGTTATCAATAATTTAAATTTTGGTCGCCATTTTGGTCGCCGTATTGGAAATTTTTAAATTGACGTATCTCCGGAAGCTTTGAGCGGATTTCGATGCGGTTTTCGACATACGCAATAGCCTAAGTTCTTCTATCTTCAGATCTTATAATACGATAAAAAAAAAAAAAAAAAAAAAAAAAAAAAAAAAAAAAAAAAAAAAATGTCGTCTAAGTCGGGCAAGATGTGTACGCAAGTCGCAAAATCCAAATCCTCTAGATCTGGTAGAGGCATAAGCCCGGTATCTGCACCGACTTTGCGGAAAAAAGTGCTTTTACAGAACGCAGCCTCTACGCAAAAACCAACTGAGGATATGGAAGACTCTCAAAGGGCTATGTTGGAAGAACCTGGATGTAGTAATCCACCAGACTCGCATACTATAGCCATTACAAAGGAACCAATAGAGCAAGAGAACGTATCCTCAAACGATCCACAGGAACATGACAGTGCCTCGGAACAGAACAGCTCTGTTGCAAGAGACATGGAGGCAGAATTGGAATTGCTAGGAATTTGCAGGCGTGTACAACGCACTGACGATGAATGGTCAGATGTTGACAGCATCATCAGTGATAACAGTAAGAGATCTAGTATTTTACCCCCCTCATATAAGCGCGCTGGCATCTCCATGGATCTTGCAACACAGCGGGCTAACGAATTTTTGCTCTCAGGGAAAGAGGCATTGGAGAAAGCGGGGAACATGAAGCGGGAGTTCAAGCAGGAGGTACATGATTGCCTTCAAGGGCTATACGAAACAGTGCTCTCACTCTCAGACTCACGCTCCCGACATCGGCTTGCATTAGAGCAAGAACGCACCCGAGCAGCAAAAGAGCTGGTTGGAGTTGAGAGAGCACACACCAAACAACTTGCAGAAATTCAATCCTCCTGTATGCAAAAGCTCAAAGATATCCAAGAACTTTTAAAAGACACGCAAAAATCCGCAGAAGCTATAAGGGGATGGCTTAATTATGAGATGGATGATCCTATTAAGACAATTTATCAGATACGGCAGGAAATAAATGAAAATCTTATCAGAGCGATAAAAGACTCTTCTAACTGTCCCTCTGAGGACCGGCAAATATTTCCTGTAGAAGATGTTGCGATGATAGTGAACCAAAACAGGGATACGTTCGAGTACATAAAATCTTTAGGTCTCGAAGTAGAACACCTCAAAAATAATTTGGAAGACCAGAAAATTGATGTGAAATGTATCACTCAGGCCTTTGAGTCACTTAAAAACCCCTCGAGTAGACTCCATTGATAGTGATATATGTGACATGAAGAATATTGTGCAGGAATTAAAAGCACAAATTCAGAACACAACCCGGCAGGAGATATCCACAGACAAATTCACAATCGACATAGAGCCTATCTCGCAAAAGATAGGAAAATTAACGGAGGAAATAAAGGAACTAAAGGAACATGGAACAAGTCAGTGGGCATTTCAAAATAACTCTAGCCTAGGTACCGAGCTAGCAGTAGCAGAGATTAGAGAAAAACTTGACAACCTACAAATATGCAACTGCAATCCACTTAAGGACAACGACAAAAAAAATATAATTATGCGACCAAAGAGCAGCAAATTGTCGGTCCAACAAGATCGTATGCCGAAGCTCTCATCAAACCTCGATTTGCTCTTCTTATCGAATCCTCCGACCCTAGGCACACAAGTGAAGATGTTGTCAGTACCATTAAAGATAATATTGACGTGGTGCAACTAGGAGTAGGAGTAAATAATGTCAGAAGAGTCAGAAATCAAAAGGTGGTCATTACGTGCAATACAGAAGAGGATCGTAGTAAGTTACATAGTGCGATCAAAAATTCTGATAAAAAGCTCACAGTGTCAAAATCATCTACTAAAAACCCACTTATAAAGTTAATAGGAATATCGAATGATCTCAATAATAAGAAAATAGAGGAAGCACTCGTAAAGCAGAACGTGAAGCTATTCAAAGATATAGCAAAAGATGATATTAAGATTAAGGTCCTAAGACGAATAAAAGGTCGTACAGAAGCAGTTAATAACATAGTTATCGAAGTAAGCCCTTGCGTCTGGAAGGCCATTAAAGACCAAAAGGTGCATGTTGGCTACCAAATAGTCCCAGCTATAGATCAGTCACCTATAGTCCAGTGCTATCGATGCATGGGCTTTGGACATAGAGCAAGCGAGTGTGCAGCTGATAAATCAACCTGTGGTTATTGCGCAGGCGAACATGACAGCAGGCAATGTCCACGAAATAATGGAGCACCTTCATGTGCGAACTGCATTAAAAATAAAGTCAAGGGGGACCATAGTCACGCAGCATACAGTGCTGAATGCTTAGTATGGCAAAAATGGGACCGAATAGCGAGATCCTTAGTTGCATACTGCTAAAGTAGATCAGACAAATGACATCGAACAGACACAGATCAGCACAAACATTATAAACAAAATGCCAGAAGACACGCAAACTGTAAAAATCGTGCAAATTAATCTTGGGCGAGGAATGGCGGCATATAAAGAATCTTTACAAATGGCCGTCAACCAAAGAATTACACTTCTCTTACTGCAAGAACCATATATCGGTTCAAAAGGGCATGTTACTTGTAATCGCCGCGTTATACAAAAATTGACTAACATAATTGATAAACCGGTTAAATCGGCAGTCATCGTTGTTGATCCCACGTACTTAATTATAGAAAATCCAGAATACATAAGTGAAAATATAGTAGGCTTTATAATTAAAGTAGGAAACCGTAGTTTAGGAGTAATTAATGTGTACTTGGAAAAAAATGGGGACCTAGATGAAGATATCAGAAACATTGTGAAAATTGCACAGAACATGGACACCGAGGACATCATCTTGGCAGGGGACTTTAATGCAAAGAGTCCTTGGTGGGGTAGCAGAGAGGAAGACAGGAGGGGATTACACTTATCGGAAATGATAGCTGAGATGGACATGAACATACTAAACCAAGGAAATGACCCTACATTCTATCAGTATCGAGCTGGAAAACTCTATAGCAGTCTGGTGGACGTAACCGCTTGTACATCTGCGTTACTACACAAGGTAGAGAAATGGAGAGTAGATCCAGACTTCGTTACACTTTCTGACCATCGAGCAATTCAATTCCAAATAAAAATTATCATAAATAAACAAAAAAATTCCTCCAGAAAGTCTACACGTCTATTTAACACCGCTAAGGCAAATTGGTCAATTTTTAGAGATGTTTTTAAAGAAGGGTTAAAAAATGATAATATTACAGAAATAAAAGTTAATCTGATAAAAACAACAAATGATTTGGAAGACATTTTAGAGAAATACATTAAACAAGTCAGCATTGCCAGTAAAAGGGCAATACCACCTATCTCTAAAAAAATTAATACAACCTGCACTCCCTGGTGGACTAAGGAGTTAGGAGCTGAACGACGAGATTTAATAAGATTAAGAAGAAGAATAAGATTTGCAAACGCAAGGCGTAAACCCTTCCTTATCCAAGAATTTACAGCAGCCAAAGAAAAATATGTGAGTAACATAATGTCTACAATTACTGCGAGCTGGAAGGAGCTATGTACAAACCAGGAAAAAGAGACAATATGGCAGAGCATTTACAGAATTATTAGGAAATGCACAACAACAAACGAAGACAAACTTTTGCGTTTAGGAGAAAAAAACTCTCAATCCTGATGATTCAGCTAAGTTACTAGCTAAAGTATTCTACCCTGAAGATGAAGTAAATAAGGACACCGAAGAACAAGGAAAAGTTCGTGATGAATCGAATGCAATTATTAAAGATCTAAGATATGACTCTATTAATTTTCCGAAATTCACCGAAGAAGAAATAGAAATGGTACTACAAAGAATAAGCCCCAAAAAGGCACCAGGAGAAGATGGTATAACATCAGACATCTGCTATGAGGCTTACAAAACTTCACCGTCAACGCTGAGGGCAATTTTCAACAAGTGTCTAGAATTAGGGCACTTCCCCGAGATCTGGAAAAAGGCTGTAATAAAAGTCATTCCAAAGCCTGGGAAAGATGATTATTCAATACCTAAATCATACCGACCTATTGGACTACTACCGGTATTTGGGAAGATTTTAGAAAAATTATTTGTAGGGAGACTTCTATGGCAGTTAGGAAGTGAAGATAAACTCAACAGTTTGCAATACGGATTCATGCCACAGCGCAGCACAGAAGACGCTTTATATGATACAATGACGGTGATAAGACAGGGCATCAAAGAAAAAATGATCGTTGTAGTGGTATCTCTCGACATTGAAGGGGCATTTGATAATGCTTGGTGGCCTCAAATAATCACAGAAATGAAAAAGAAAAGGGTTAGTCCAGAGATTTTCAGGTTAGTCACTAGTTACCTGTCATCTAGAAGTATTTTACTAAAGTATGCAGGAGCAGAAGTCACAAAATCAACCACCAAAGGCTGTATACAAGGGTCTACCTGTGGACCTATCCTCTGGAACATACTTTTAGATCCCCTTCTCGAATCAATTTCAAAATTAAATGTCCGTATACAGGCTTATGCGGATGACATACTTGTTATTGCAAAAGGATATTCAGCTAATGCAATAGAAGAAAAACTAAACCCGGCTTTAGAACAAATAGTGGCATGGGGGGAAAAATACAAATTGAAATTCGCACCACATAAAACTCAAGCAATAGTAATCACAAAAAAAGCTATCCTATGAAATTCCTACAATTAAAATGAATAATGTTATTATCAAACCATCTTCGAGTCTGAAAGTACTTGGTGTTACTTTTGACAGAAATCTAAATTTTGTAGAACATTTAGATGAAGTTCTCAGAAAAGCACTAAATATCTATAAAACCATTTCGAGAACAGCACGAGCCAACTGGGGTCTTAACTCAGATATAGTGAAAATAATATATGTAGCTGTAGTGGAGCCAACTATTCTTTATGCGGCAAGTGTATGGGCCACGGTAGCGAAAAAAGAATACATGAGGAAAAGATTAGAACGTATTACAAGAATGTTTGCAGTTAAGATCTGCAAGGGCCACAGGACAATCTCATTCACGTCTAGCGTGTTACTATCAGGAATCATCCCTCTTGACTTAAGAGCATTGGAACACCTTTCACTCTATGAAATCAAGCGAGGAAAGCCACTAACACAACTACCAGGGAGAACCATAGAAAAACCAGTAAGCCCATTCTGTTTACCCCATCCCGCTGAAAGGTACCGTGTATCTTTCAAGATGTTAGTTACACAAGAAGAAGAAAACGCAATCGACGGCCTTAAGCCGAGAATATACACGGACGGCAGTAAGTTAGAAGACAAAGTAGGTGGCGCTGTCAGTGTGTGGAGAGAGGGGAAAGAAATACTCAAATCAACATTTAGGTTAGAAAGTTACTGCAGTGTCTATCAGGCTGAACTTACCGCGATTCTTAAAGCACTTAACATGATGTGCAAGATCAGTAAATTAAAGAAAGCAATAATACTAAGTGACTCACAATCAGCTTTAGAGTGCCTAACTGACAGCTCATCTCTCCAGCCTCTTGCAGTTGAAATACGAGAACGCTTAAGAGAATTAAAAAATAAAGACGGTGACGTTGAGTTGTACTGGGTCAAAGCGCATATTGGTATACCCGGCAACGAAAGAGCTGATGAACTTGCAAATAAGGCAGCACTGTCAAACAAACAAGCTGCAGCTTATGATAAGTGCCCCCTGTCCTTCGCGAAGCGACTCATCAGGGACTCTACCTGCATGAGGTGGCAACAACGATACAATGAAGCTACAACAGGAGCAGTCACGAAGATATTCTTTCCGGACATAAGACAAGCACACAGTACACTTAAAAATATTAAATTAGATAACGTTAAGACGCAATTGTTAACAGGTCATGGAGGTTTTAAGGCGTATTTATTCAAATACAAATTAACGCAGTCCCCATCTTGTGCATGCAGCAGTGAAATAGACGAAACAATTTTACATCTGTTAATAGATTGCCCGAGATTCGCTTTGAAAAGATTGGAATGCGAGCAGAAGATGGGAATTGCAATAAATGATACTACCCTAAAATACGTTATTAACAACGATGACTGTCGGACCCATTTCCTAAAATATGCAGAAATAGTCGTTCGTACCGCAGGAAAAGAAAATGGGTCCAAAATAGCATAGTTTTATAAGTTAAAAGTATATAAAATTAAAGCAATGGACAATTGCATTAAAATTGTACAAGGTAACTATGATAGTATAATAGTAACTTTATATTATAATTATCTTTGTAAGTATATATATATATATATAAAAAAAAGTAAAATAATAATATAACAACAAGTTTATTTAGTAATTATTATATGTATAAAGTTAGAAATAACTGTAAATAACTGCAAAAAAAAAAGGTTGTTTGTAACGGAATTTAACGCAAAAGTAGCTTAAAGTAAATTTGTGATAAGACTAAAAAAAAAACGAATAATTGATAGCACAGGAAAATAATAACAAAAATATTTTGCGAAAATAAGTTTGTAATATTGATAAGAAAATTTAGTATTTATAGTGAAACAGGTAAATGTATCTTTGTAAGCATTCGAAATAGTATAAACAAATTTTGTAAGACACAAGCTTATAGTAATCTTTGTAAAGTAGCAATAAGATAGTAAAAAAAAAAAAAAAAAAAAAAAAAAAAAAAAGAGGTTAAATGAACAGGTAAAAAAAAGTAACCAAGGGTGCTGCATGTATAGCAGCAGTAGAACAGAAAAAAAAAAAAAAAAAAAAAAAAAAAACCTAACCTAACCTAACCTAACCTAACCTAACCTAACCTAACCTAACCTAACCTAACCTAACCTAACCTAACCTAACCACAACAGAGAAGCTCAAAATTTATGACAGCGTCCAACACGCAGTAGTGGCAGTGTCCAGGCACACAGAAAGCTGTGTTTATTACACGGACGTTTGCGACGATGTAACTGGGAGGCTGATTGAGAGCGCAATGGCTGCGACAACGAAAAGAATCAAAGAATATAATCTGAAAATGGCAATTAGAAACAGAGACGAAGCTATTGTGTCAACAGATATCACAAAGAGTTAAAGATGGAGCACTCTCCACGACATTAAGTACAAGGAAAAGGGAAAAAAAAAAAAAAAAGGAAAATCTGGTAATATAATAAATTAACATAGCATGTAAGGCCATATACATTAAGTATGTAGATTATGTTGATAACTACATGAGGAAAAAAAAAAAAAAAAAAAAAAAAAAAAAAAAAAAAAAAAAAAGAGGAAAAAAAATATATATAAAACACAAAGTGGGTCGACAATTATTATGTTTAATTAACAAAAAAAAAGAAAAAATTCAAAAAAAAAATATTGCGTGTAAGTGCATGTCGCATGTAAGCATATCAGTTTGTAGATCTTAAGAATGTAAGACAATAGACATAAATAAAAAAAAAATAAAAATAATAATAATACACAAAAAAGTGTAAAAAAAAAAAAATATAGCGTGTAAGTGCATGTCGCATGTAAGCATATCAGTTTGTAGATCTTAAGAATGTAAGACAATAGAAATAAAAAAAAAAATAAAAAAAAAATAAATAAAATATATATAAACATATATATGTTAACTTACTGCTTAGGCTTAAATATTTAAGAAATGTAAGTAGTGTAAGGAGTACATTTATAACAGTATTTTAAAAGTTAATAAAATAAAGTAAAGCAAAAAAAGGTACGGACTTCGAGTCTGTAGAGTAAACTTATTGGAAAAAAAAAAAAAAAAAAAAAAAAAAAAAAAAAACCTAACCTAACCTAACCTAACCTAACCTAACCTAACCTAACCTAACCTAACCTAACCTAACCTAACCTAACCTA